GTGAAGCCAATTTTGGACTTCTAGCCTCCAAAACATGAGAGAATAAATTTCTGTTATTTAAGTAACCAAGATTGTGAAAATTTGTCACAGCAATCCTAGGAAACTAATACATAAGGTACTTTCTCTAGTTATTAGGTTTCAGAGATGCATATATGTGTATATGTTCTAGACTATTGATTATTCTATCTAGATTTTCTATATTCCTCCTGATTTTTTTGGCCACTTGCTCTTAGATTGAGAGAGATATATTAAAGACCCTATTATTACTGGGTTTCTATTTCTACTAGCAACTCCTCTTATATCTGCTTTAGTGAAAATTTTGTCATGTTACTGGGTACATAACATTAATCACTATTTTACTTTCACTCTATATTGTAGCCATTAGCATTAATAAGTGCCCTTTGTACTGTTTTGGGTGTGCTACTGTAAACAACATAATGTGAATTTTCTTTCTACAACAGAAAATCCTTTTCCTTTTGTAGGTGAGTTAAACATATATATATATATATATATATATATATATATATATACACATATATATACATATATTATGTATATATATATATCAATGTTATTTTAAGTTATTTTTCATTTTTGTTAATATAAATATGTCATAGTATAAATTTCCTTCTCATAACTGTCTCTCATAGATTCAAGTTATTCTACAATTTCACCATGTTTCCTCTTTGACTCAAGAGTTGTTTATTAGAATGATTTTAGGTTTCTATAAAAAAGCCTTTTCAAATTTTTACTTTATTAATAGTTTCTGATTTTATTCCAGTGTTGTCAAAGAATCGTGTTTTTGTTATTTTTGTTCTTTAGAATGTATTTATTTTTAAAATGCATTTTCTGAAACTTTATATATATGTATTATAAACATGATCTATATGCATAGCCTCAGTTCTTTCATACTGATTTATGCTATATAAGTTTGGGGTTTTTTGGGGTTTTTTAAGATTTTTTATTGGGGAATTGGGGGGATGGGAACAGTGCTGGGGAATTGGGGGAAGGGGAACAGACAAGTTGCTGTTGTTTTGTTCTTCAGTCTTGTTGTGGAGGACGTTGCTTCACTGGCCCAAGTTGGCACCATCATTGCGCTCTTCCCGGGAGAGGCAGATCAGTCACCGGCTTCTGGACGGCCACTCACTGCGGCTGCTGGCTGCTCACACTGGCTGCTGGCTACATACGGTAGCTCATGGCAACCCACTGCCACAGGGGCTGCAGCCTACGCCGTCACCGGTGTCTCACAGCAGCCCAGCTCCAGGTTGAGCTGTTGTTCAGCATCTTAGCTGTGGAGGGCAGTGTCACTGGCCCTCATATGTAGGATCCAAACCGGGGCCCTCTGGCGTCCCAAGCCAGTTCTTAACCATTGCGCCACTCGGCTGGCCCTATGCTATATAAGTTTTATAGACTCAGACAAACATATAGTTATCCACTTATGTGGTCTACTTTATTTTATCTGCTTGCATTTTCTCTTTTGGCATTTAGGAACGTTCATATTTTTGTTCTAAGTTTACCTTTAGAATAATGCTTTTATATAAACCTTAATCCCCTCTTTTTTTTAATATTGCCCATCAGTAAACTATTATAAACAATACTGGAATTAGCTAGTAATCTTCTTTCTTCTTCCCTCCTGCTCCTTTGGCATCTAATTTGAAATAATAGCTTTTTTCTTCTAACTAATACAAATAAGGCCATCAGCAAGCTGTTTTCATTTCCATATGCTCTTCATCTTATCTCCACGTTTTTTGATAGTTGTATAAATTCTTATAGTTTTTTATAGTCATACATCTTTTATAGTTATATTGTTTCTACAATGCACAGCAGATAAGCATTGCATAATGTATACCTCTTTTATGGCAATCATTTAGTCATGGTACTCCAGATAAATATATAATTAAGGCCCCTCAAATTTGGAAGTTAAAACTCAATTTCCTGGGTTACCTTAACAGCGAAGACTGAAGTTAAGTGACTAAAACTTTGGCCGATCACACATTTTGATTCAGAAGTGAGCAATATTAGTAAACACGCTGTGCATGGAGCTGCCATTGTGCTGGAGTAGCTAGGAGCCCAGAGCATCCAGTTTCCAAAGGCAACAGTGAGAGAAGCAGTGTCCCAATGATTTTAAGGTCATGTTCCTGATGCAGAAGTGATATTGGTGCTGGTAGCATTAGTAGCTGTAGTAAAATCTAATTTCTGGTGTTTGTGTTTTATAGCCATGATGTCAGTGGTAGGAGTTTCCTAATCAAGTCAATTCTCCAGCTTGGTTTTGGAACCCTAGCTTTGAGATCATTTCTGCAGCCTTCCTAACATTATTGTGACCTTCCTAATATCCTCTAATCTATTCCTAAATCTGCTTAAATTAATCAGAGTAGATACTCTGAGTGTATCCAAAAGCCCTGAGTGATACACGGAGGCCACACATCTCCCATTTTTGTTGTGAGGACTGAATGATATAACTTATGCTGAAGTACTTGACACACAGTAGTGCTTAGCAAGTCTTAGCTTCCTTCTCGGGTCCCCAAGGAGGCAAATAATGGGTACACAGGCAGCCACGCTAGATCATGTTGAAGTTTCTGAACTACATCTGCACTCATTAAAGATATATTCATTTTCCTTTGGTCACTGAATGTCAAAACCCCAAATGCTTCTTGGAATCTTTTTAGCCTACTAGACTCAGAAAGCAAAAGTAATAAGGTTTATGTGCAGGATTGACTATAAGTGACCCAGTGCAAAACGAAAATGTAGTACCCCTTTCTAAAAAAAATTGTCAAGAGTTGTACGATGGCAACAGCATTAAACCAAGTATAGGGTCCTTCCAAGCATTTCTACATGAAGCACTTCTGATCCTCTTTCTCTTCTGTTGGTATTAAGAGAAGGGAGTATGATAGGGACACCTAGACCCCCCTTCCTATAAATAAGCCATTATGTTATACACAACAGTTGGCCACAACAAAAGGCCCTTCCAGTCACCAATATGAAACTGCATTAGTACTGCAGTTACATTACAAAATTACAATTACAAAATTACATCAGTTATACAAAAAAATACCGGGGGTGCCAAAAAAATGTATACACATGAGTTGTATTCATCTTTTGTTATCGATATATATTGAGTATTATAATTTTAATACAATTTTTTCCTTTCTTAAAACATGGATACAAATTTTTGGTAGCCTCTGTATATGTCCACTTTAAGGCAAAAGTATACAAAAATGCATGTTCACGTTAAGACAAAAGGTGCAATACAGGTTCTTAAATACTGAAAGAGACTGTCAATGCCAAAGGAGAATATCTAATCCAAACCCATTGCATTATACTTGGAGAAACTGAATCCCAATAGGGTTAACTGCAGTGACACAACTAGTTATGGTTTAATAGATACTAGAACCTCGGGCTCCTAGAATCCAGTTTAAATTTGCCTCTTCTTATGTGATACCACCTCCTTTCCTTGTCATCTCAGCAAGTGCTGCAGTGGTCAAACTTCTTCCCGTCATGAACGTAAGTAAGAATACAAGAGAAGAAAAAGAAATCCAGGGTTAAAAACCTTAAGGACTTGAAGGGAAGAAAGAAGTTTAAAACTACATTAAAACACACAAACTTTTTTTTTAATTACAAAATCTATCTGCAATAAGTCAAATCAAAGAACATAAATTAAAAAGTGATATTCCACCTATTTATCCAATCATACTCCCCAACAGTTATCACTTTTATCATTTGGGTGACTATCCATTCAGATATTTGATACTGAAACTCAAATCCCAGTTTGGGTCATTTAGGTCAAGCCTTAATTTTAAATATACCACCCACTGGAATTAGTTAACTGTGAATTTTTTTAAAAATGTTGTATTACAAGCAAAAAGTGTACCTACACACTGAAAATAGACATGTAAATTCTCTCAAGAGGACTGGCCTTTTTAGAAGTAATGTAATAGTTATTCAATTCTCCATATATGGAAAGTAAACAAATAATTAATGCACAATCCACGTTTACTAGGATTTCCTTTGTATTTTGTTTATGTTGACTTGGCCAAATTCTCTTTTCCTTACCTTTACTTCTGCTGCCAGTGTTAATTCATTAAGTATTTTGGGGGAGGGAAGATGTCACACAGTGAAAACATTGCCCACTAAATTTCCATATTTCTGATTTAGTGATAAACTACTTTGTAGTATTTCTTTTCCATTTCTCTCAGACTAAATACACATTTTGTTTATTCATTCTTCAACGTGGAAATTTTTTTCAGAAATCTTTTGGATATATTGAAGGCTTCAACATATACTACCCATTTTCTACTTTGAAGATATAAGAATATAGCAACTTAAGGGGGAAATGTTATGTGCACTGCTTACTTCTTACTTTTATAGCAAAAGGTACATAAACCATATCACTACTTTATCTTTCTTGTATTGCTAATAAAGATCCTTAAAACTATTAATGGCTGCTTTTCTTGGACTATAAGAATTACTTAATACTAACCAACATACCCAGTGCTCTTTTAATAATCTTTCAATTTATGTTCTACTGCTACTATTGAGCTGTAGGTTTATAGAAGAAAAATTGGTTTTCCCATTTCACCACTAAAACACAGTTAAACTCTCCATGAATAACACTATATGTTGGAAACTCCTAATAGATTGTGAACTCTTTGTGGTTCAATTCGATCATTCAAATTGACAGATTCCTGAGCCAAACTGAGGTCAATTTCGGTTCCAAATACGTATAAAAAGTCTCAGCATGCCAAATCAGTTAATCAGTTAACTCTGGCAGAACTCTGCTACTGTGCCAACCACAGCCAGCCCAGCCAATTTGTCATCAAGAGCGCCAAGAGGACTAAAATTCCGCATCGCGGTTCCTCCAGCCTCACAACGCGCCCCTTCCCCTCCCTTCTCCTGGCCCCGCCTCCTGCGCGCGGCGCACCTCCCTCCCCTGTCTGTTCAGCCAATAGGCGGAGACGTTTGTGGGAGTGGGACTTCTCTCTCCGCCAATGCAGGAGACCTTTGCTGTCTCGGTTCCGCCCCTGCTGGGGAGGTGAGGCCGGAAGATGGCGGCAGTCGCAGAGTTGACGTTGCTGGAGAAGTCCCTGGGGCTGAGTAAAGGGAACAAATACAACGCTCACGGTGAACGCCAGGTAAGAAGCGGCGGCGGCGGCGTGGAGGGAAGAGGGAGTAGGGGGAGGCACGTAGGGCGGACTCAGCAGCCGGGTCAGACGGAGTGAGAATGCGGCCCTTCACCTCCCCACGTGTCTGTGCCGCGGGTCGGGCTGGCGCCTCTGGGTCTTTTCGTGCCGCTCTAGCTCCGGGAAAGAGGAGGGCGAACCTGCTCCCCACGGGCCCGGCCTGAACTTTTCCTTTCAGTAAGTCCTCGTCATTCTATTCTGAGAAAGCGAGGAGGGTCCTCAAAGAGCCCATAGATTAACCAACCTGGAGGCCCTGCGTTTGAGTTCAATGACAGCAGTTAATTATGACAGTACCTTTCATTCGGTATTCGGCAACTACTCCAGACAGCTAACAGGATGCCAAGTAGTACTGTGCTGGGCCTGGGGAATACAGCGGTCATAGTTAAGGCTGACACGTTCCCTCCCCTCAGGAATCTTGCTTTTTTAGCTGGGTGGACAAACATTGCAGCTATTTTCATTACAATGCTGAAGAGTGATGCATCGAAGCAGGCGGTTTAGAGTACACAATGAATGGATCTAGAAGATTCAGGGAAGGCTTTTCTGAGGCCTTGTGATATCAATTCAGTGTGCAATGTGCAGAGAATGAGGGTGAAAGTTAAACTGTATGGGATTGACTGGTGAGGTGTAAGGACCCAGATTTCTCAAGCACTTGTGTGTTTTATGAAGATCCTTGTTTGTAGTGGAGGGAATATATTCGAGGAAGAGAATGATTGTAGGAAGGCAACTTTGGCTGTACAGTCATGTGTTGCTAAATGATGTGGATGCCTTCTGGAAAATGCATGGTCAGTTTTGTCCTTGTGAGAACATAAGAGTGCGCTTACACAAGCCTAGATGGCATAGCCGACTACACACCTAGGCTACATGGTACAGAGAGAGCCTGTTGCTCCTAGGCTACAAGCATGTACAGTATTTAGTTACTGTACTGAATACTGTAGGCAATTGTAACAATGGTATTTGTCTCTAAACATAGAAAAGGTACAGTAAAATTGTGGTATAAAAGGTAAAAAATGGTACACCTGTATAGGAAGGGCACTTACCATGAATGGAGCTTGCAGGACTCTGAAGTTGCTCTGGGTGAGTCAGTCAGTGAGTGGTGAGTGAATGTGAAGGCTGGGACATGACTGTACACTACTGTAGACTTTGTAAACACTGTACACTTAGGCTACATTAAATTTATTTAAAAATTTTTTCAATACTAAAACTTGGTATACTATAACTTTTTTACTTTAAAAACTATAAACAAAACTTTTTTACTTTTATAAAAACACAGCTTAAAACAAACACATTGTACAGCTGTACAAAAATATTTTCGGTCTTTTTATCTTTATTCTATATGCTTTTTTCTTTTTTTATCTTATTTTGTTTTATTTTACTTTTTAAACTTTTTTGTTAAAAACTAAGACGCACACACACACATAAGCCCAGGCCTACACAGGGTCAGGACCCTCAACATCACTGTCTCCACCTCCATACCTTGTCCCATTGGCATGGAGCTGTCATCTCCTGTGATGACAATGCCTTCTTCTGGAACACCTCCTGGGGGACCTGCCTGAGGCTCTCCTTGAGAAGATGTCACTCGGTTCAGAAAAGTGTCCATGGTGGTTTGTTTGGTTTCATTCTTTCATAAAAGATTTGCTCCTAAGCAGATAATGCACCATAAACATTCCTCTATTAAAGACTACTATAATGTCACTAGGGATAGGAATTAGTTACTTACTTTAACTTGCAGGAAGTAACCTTTTACTCTAGCCATAAAATGGTAATCTCCCCATATACTGCAGAGTCCTGTTGACCTAGATGTGAGTATGAAAGTACCCTGAAACATGTAAGTCACTAGACGAGTATACGATACTCCTTCATGGCTAAAAAGAGCAGCAGGCTTCCCAAGAATGTTATTCTTTTTTCGTTTGCATAGGTCATTTAGATTGTATACCTGTTATTTATAATGGTCAGTCTCCCCTTTGGATGATGCTTTCCATTTTCTTTTAAATTTCTCATAATGTTTCACTTAGTTATGCATCAAGAACATTTAAATTAATTAGCAATTTCTTATGATCTGGCCTTTTGTATTGCCGTTATAATAGGGGAAACATAAAAAGTAGGATTATTTTTCAGATGGCTACCTGAAGCCCAGACTTTATTATCAGTAGCTCTAATTATATTTTGGAATGTTTCTAAAAATAAAAAATATTGGCTGAAATGACTGCAAAATTGATGAATATGCAGTCCGTGGTAACCAAGTCACCATCACAGTCCACATCTAGTTAATGAGATAGCTAATTGTATTAGGTTACATATCACTAAAAACAGCCTAGATCCCATTTAGTGTTTCCAACTATATCATCATGAACTCCTGTTAACTGTAACGTTCTTATTTTTGTTATTACAGAAGTTGGGTTTATTTAAGCATGTTCCCCTTGCTAAAGCCAGGGTATGGGTAAACTTGATGGAAATTGATGCAGTATTATTAGGATTTTTGTTTTCTCTCTTTATACACACAGTTATAAATTATGTAGAAACATTCTACTGATTACTACAATGTTATTACCAGTTTCATCATCAAGCATCTGTTATCAAATGTAAATTACATAACTGCTATTTTCCTGACTTTCATTTATGTAATTCAGTAATTTAGAGTAAAATCTTAGAGATTGGAAAAAACAGTTCAGGGGTTTAGCAATTACTTTGAACTTAAGAGTCGCGATGGTATTTGTCTTTAAAATTACTTCAAGAACTTTTTTTTCTGTTCAAGATTCCAGTTCTTCAAACAAACAATGGTCCAAATCTAACAGGATTGACTACTATAGCAGCTCATCTAGTCAAGCAAGCCAACAAAGAATATTTGCTTGGAAGCACTGCAGAAGAAAAAGCAATAGTTCAACAATGGTTAGAATACAGAGTAACTCGAGTAGATGGACACACCAATAAAGATGATATCCGCATTCTGTTGAAGGTATGAGGACTTCTCTTTATATGCTGAAATTCATGAACTATTGCTACAGGGCTCTCTCTTCCCTGAGATTCAATAGCTGAAACTATTGGCTTTGTTTCCTTCTGCCTCAGGTTACTTTGGACTTGTTGTTACCTTTGCCTGGAGCAGACTCTGCCAGCCCTCCCCCTTCAGATCTCAGCTCAGATACTCCTTTCTCAGAAATGTCCTTGACTACTCTCTCAAACAGATGTGGTTCCTTGTTCTGTAGGCTTTTTCTTTCATAACACAGCACCCTGTGCTTTTCCTTCATAATACTCATCATAGTCAATCATTACAGCTTTGTATGACTTTTTTTAAGTGATTGCTTAATATTTATTCTCCCATGGGCAGTCCTGATTCCCTAAGCAATAAAATACTTTCTCAAAGATAAGAGGTAATCAGAATCTTTGGAGATTGTAATTTGAAAAACAGTGTCAGATTGATGTGAGAAAGCCCACATTTCCCTCCCTTGAGACTTATAGCTTTAGGATTTGTATTTTCTTTTCCAAGAAGTCAAATTGGAATAAAAGAACCTATTTTATAAAATATAAACTTAATATGGCTTCAGGGTCACCAAGAATGAAAAACATTACAAATGGAATTATTTTTGTTAATTATTTTTATAAAAATAAAGCAAAAATCTTGTAAAATTTTATAAAACCTTAAAATTTGAAGGAACCTTAGAGATCATCTAGACAATCACATATCATTTCAGGAACCCCTTCTGTTTCCTAATTTTGTTCCCATTATCATATAAATTGGTAATATAAGTTGTGTAAGAAGATCTTATAATAGTGAAAGTTTTTCATTTATCACCCTGGGGAAAATGGTTTAAACTATATTCTTGATAGATTTCATCAAGAGAATTGATAGAAAATAAATCTCGGGGCTTGTTCCTTTATAGGTCTATCATGCTGACTATTCATTCTTTTTCTTTTCTTTTTTTTTTTTTTTTAAAGATTTTTATTGGGGAATTGGGAGGATGGGAACAGTGCTGGGGAATTGGGGGAAGGGGAACAGACAAGTTTGCCTATCGTTTTGTTCTTCAGTCTAGTTGTGGAGGACGTTGCTTCACTGGCCCAAGTTGTCACCATCATTGCGCTCTTCCCAGGCGAGGCAGATCAGTCGCCGGCTTCTGGACGGCCGCTCACTGCCTGGCCGCTCACGCTGGCTGCTGGCTACATACGGTAGCCCATGGCAACCCACTGCTACAGGGGCTGCAGCCTACGCCGTTGCTGGCAACTCACAGCAGCCAAGCTCCAGGTTGAGCTGTTGTTCAGCATCTCAGCTGCGGAGGGCAGTGTCACTGGCCCTCATATGTGGGATCCGAACCGGGGCCCTCTGGCGTCCCAAGCCAGTTCTTAACCATCGCGCCACTCGGCCGGCCCTGACTATTCATTCTTAATATTCATACTGACTTTCCCCTCTGCCCCCTGCCATGCTCAGCAGCATTTCCAGAGGGAAACAAGCATGTCTAATTTCTTAAGTGAATGTGAGATTTCAGGCAAGTAAGAAATAAATATAACTCTTACAGTTTTCCAAAAGAAAGCGTAATAAAGTACTTACTTCTGAAAGATAGGAGCAAAATTTCATTTAATTGGGTTTATAAGTTCAAAAGTTACATTCATAGATATGGTATTGTCGGGGAGTGGGCCCTTCTCGGTGTGAAGTCCAGGTCCTTGGCAACTCGAGAAAAGAAATGAATGAGATACCGAGGCAAAGTAGTGAAAAAGCAGTTTATTAGAAGAGATAGTATACTTTAAAGAAATAGAAGTGGGCTCGAGGAGTAGAGGATGGCTCAAGGGCCCATCATTAGAAGAGAAATTACATTCCACAGGGTTTGGAGCAGGCCACACGCAAAGGTGAGGCTCAAAAAAGGGAGGAAGGCAGGGCCGACTGGGTGGCTCAGTTGGTTAAGAGCTCACTCAAGAATGTGAGCTCCAAACAACAGGGTCACTGGTTTGATTCACAGCCCCAGCTGAGCTGCCACGGAGCTGCCAACAGGTGGCAGGATGGCTCAGCTAAAAAAAAGAGGAAGGTGTCAAAAGCAGTCAAAAAGCGGACTTCCCAGGACTTGGAGTTTTTATCCCTTTTTCTCTAGAATGCGCTGTTTCCCTCTGGGCATGGGACCACTTGATTGGCACCTTGATTGACAAGAGATACTGCACAGGTGTGAGTGACTGGTCTGATCTAGTTGGGTATTTTGTGCCCATTTGTTTTCCCGCAGGGGTAGGTAATTACAATACAAGGGGAGTTTTGGGTGGAGAGGGGAGGTCTCCTGGGTGGTTGCACTCTGTGGATGTGCAGGAATGCAGAGACCCAATGCCTGCCTCTAACTGCCTGCCTTGTTTTCCCCTTGAGAGACGTGATCCCCATAAAATCTCTCTATAGGAAGCTGAGGGACAGGAGGTCTCTTCTTCTGTATCTGCTTCCTGCTGGGCAGGGGCATAGAGGTGTCCTTGCCTATTTGGGGGATTCACGGAACTCTCACCCTGTCTAGTCTCAGATGAGAAAAAGGCGTCTTGATCTCTGCCTGGAAGACCATTGTTGGCTTCTTTGGTTGTGACTGGCAATCTTGCTGGGGTATCATCTGTATCCCCAAGGTCCCTGAATGAGGAAAAAATAGATTTTAATTAATAAATCTGCTAACTCTTAAGAAACCTGTGGCCATTCAGCCTGTCACTCAGGTGGTGTCAGCTGTCTGGGCCCAGAATGGGTTTGGCATTAAGCTTACTGGCCTGGGGGATATTAGGAAGTCACAGGCTTTTAAGTAGTTATCTGAAGCAGGGGTAGGAGATTTCTATGAACAATCTATTGTTTAGGATTAAGAAACTGATTTACAGACAATCAAGAAGCAAGGGGTGTAGAAGAATTCTATGATTCAGGTTAGGAGCAATTTTTAGGATTCAGAAACTTCTTAGAAGAGTAATCAAAGCCAAGAGCTAAGAAACTAAGGAACTAGGGAGGAGACTTAACATTTCTATAGGAAAGAAAACAAAAGGGTTTTTTTTTGGGGGGGGGCTACTCTGTTGGCCCACAACAGTATTAGGAGCATAATAGTAATTGCACCAAAACATTGTATCTGTAATAGGTAATCATCTGAAATTTCAATTAGGACAGTCTGCTGGAACTATTACCATTTTTGAAATGTACGAGGAGCTGGGTGATTTGGGCTGTGGCCCATGCTCTGCCACAGTTTGATCATCTGAACCTACAGCAATGTGTCAGATACAGTTCTGGAGCTAGTGATACAGTGACCCATTTATACACATATAAGTCCTTCCCTTTATAGAACTCGTACCAGTGGGGGAGACAATTGTGTGGATAATGGACTGCAATGTGATTTTTGGCCATCTGAGCACTGATGAGAAAGGGATGTTTTCTGTTTCACTTTGCTTTTTGCTGTTTTATGATAGCTTTTTTTAAAGGCAATAAATATCATAGAAATTTAGGAAATATAAATAAGCAAATAAAAGAAATTTCAAACACTTGTGGTTCCATCATCAAGAGACTTGTTAATAATGCTTATGGTCAGTCATCAAATATTTATTGAACCCCTTTTGTGTTCTTTCATGCTTTTTCTTTTCAGATATAGGTATGTGTGTTTTATTTTAAAAATGGGTAGTTATTGGACACTATTTTATTTTGTTCACTGACAGTATCTTGTGAACATCTTTTCATGTCCATAAATATTCACTTATACTATCTTTTTTTTTAATTAAAATTTATTGGGGTGACAATAGTCAATAAAACTACACAGGTTTCAAGCATACAATTCTATAATACATCATCTATATATTGCATTATGTGTTCACCCAGAGTCAGTTCTTCTCCCATCACCATGTATTTGACCCCTCTCCTTCTACCATCTCCCCACCCCCTTACCGCCTGGTAACCACTAGGCTTTTGTCTGTGTCAGTGAGGGTTTTTTTTAATTTGTTTATCTTGTTCCTTTGTTATACTATCTTTTTGATAACTTATTAGTATTTCATCATATAGTTGTACCAGAACATAAGTAGCCTATCCCCTGTGTAGTTACTCTTAGATTGTTGCTAAATATTTTAGCACATTCCCATTTGTTTCCTTAGGCTAAATTCCTACAGGGGAAATTGCTGGACCAAAAACTATGTATACATTTTTAAGGCTATGTTGCTCATTTGCCCTCCAGAAAAGTGTATTATTATAGTTTGGTGGTATATGAGAGTGGCCTCTTCCACAAAACCCTTGCTAACGTGGATATTACCCTTTTGTTCCTTCACCACCCCAATTTCATTACCAAAACAAATGAAACAAAAAGTGATTTCTTTACTTTGTGTTTTTCTTCTTAAAGTTATTAATGCTATGACATTTTTTTCAGAATCCTTAGGACCATTTTCATTTTTAAAAATTTGCTTATACATATTCTTTGCCCATTCAGACTGGGATATTTACCTTTTTATTACATATTTTTAAAACTCTTGCTAATAGGATACTGTGAATGGGCTTAATTCTTACTCTCCAAAGTTCCATTTCAATGCTAAAACCATGATTCTAAATTTAAATGGCTCACAAGTACAGTAATATGTACTTTTATGGGCCCAGCACGCTTCTGCTGCACGACTCTGCTATCTGTAATACGTACTTTTAAAAAGCAGGCATTGCACAATGCTAACATCTGTTGAATCTATATGGAAGATACATAGTTGTTTATTATATTGCTTTTCTAAATTAGTTAGGAAGAACAAGAAAAATCAGGTAGTCCCAGGGGGAAATATTTTTTAAAGTTTGGCGATGGCATTGGAAAGACATGTTAAAAAAAAAAAAAGAAAGAAAATGACCATCAGAAATTAGTATTACTAATCAGAAAAAATATTACCTAATCATAGTTTTTTGTCTTTGGTTATGACTGTAACCTTAAGAGTCTGTATAACTAAAACGTAAATATAGATTCTATTTTAGGAATATATATTCTATACAAAGCAGTGTTAAATTATTGTTTCAGAGCTTAAAATGGTTCTTAAAATTAAATGAAGATGTATTTATTTTATTCGTGTACTTTATCAAAGTTGTTTCATTTGAAAACATTTGAAGAGAAACCATCTTCATTCAACAAATTACTGTAGAAATTTAAGTGATAACTCCTAATACACCAATATATTTTACCCTCCTTACCCAAATTTTATTTTGATTCTTCTGAATTTGTCTCCTCATTTATGCCCTCATCTATACCAGCGCTAGCAGTCCATATTCATATTCATATACCATTTTGAAAATTACTCTCTTTAGATGAAAATGTGGGCAAATTAAAAGAGATTAAATTCAGTTCAGTGAACATTTACTGGTTACTGAACCACTGTGTGCCAGGCATTTGGGGTGTAATTTGAGAAAACAAAATGTTCTCTCTACAGTTTAAGGAATTTTTCCACAATAAATGCTATTAATTACTGGGCAGTGTTTTATAACTAGTCATTAGAGGAGCCTGTGAGAATATCCATTAATACTTCATATAACCTATTTATAAACCTTTATCTAAAGGTTATACGAATCTTTTGTCTTTTTTAATTTCAATGTACTTCAATACAAATTCCTGTGCTGTTAAGTTATATGTTGATTTTGAAAGGGACCAAAAGTATTCATATAATATTTTTTTATCTAGGTTTTTTTTTTTTCCTTTTTTCAGGAAACTAATTGATTTATTCATTCTGGTCTGTCAGACAATAATTCAAATTTAGATTAGGACCTTTTAATGTTTAACATGTACTTTAAATATTTTTTCCTTCAAAAGTGCCTACTAGCTATTTAGGGAGCTCAGTGCTTATTAGTTTTTTTCTTTTTTTTTTTAAGATTTTTATTTGGGAATTGGGGGGATGGGAACAGTGGTAGGAAATTGGGGGAAGGGGAACAGACAAGTTGCTGTCGTTTTGTTCTTCAGTCTAGTTGTGGAGGACGTTGCTTCACTGGCCCAAGTCGGCACCATCATTGAGCTCTTCCCGGCCGAGGCAGATCAGTCGCCAGCTTCTGGACGGGCCGCTCATGGTGGCTTGAGGGCCGCTCATGCTGGCTGCTAGCTACACACGGTAGCCCATGGCAACCCACTGCCACAGGGGCTGCAGCCTACGCCATCGCCGGCAACTCATGGCAGCCCAGCTCCAGGTTGAGCTGCTGTTCAGCATCTTAGCTGTGGAGGGCAGTGTCACTGACCCTCATGTGGGATCCGAACCGGGGCCCTCTGGCATCCCAAGCCAGTTCTTAACCATCGCGCCACTTGGCCGGCCCGAGTTTTCTTTTTTAATGATTTCAAATGAATTCTTTTTTGTATATACTTAAATTAACATTCAAATATATTTAAAAATTGATGGTAATTGTCTGGAGAACAAATGACAGAGAGCTTTCTGTAGACTTAAATGGTGTTTAAACCTGGAGTCTTTGGGTGTGGAAAAACTAGATATCCAATTGCAGAAGAATGAAGTTGGAGTCTTAGCTTACATAATATATAAAAATTAACTCTGAAGTACCTAATTTATACTAACATGATTCTGACTTAAAAAAAAATTTAACTCAAAATAAAGTCCTAAATGTTGAGATCTAAAACTATGAAACTCTTAGAAGAAAACATAGGGGAAAACAACACATCATTTGATTTGACAATGATTTCTTAGATATGATATCAAAAGCACAGATGACAAAAGTAAAAGAAATTTTGGACTATATAAAAATTTAAAACTGCTGTTCATCAACAGACTCAAGCAACAGAGTGAAGAGGCAACCCATGGAATGGGAGAAAATATTTGCAAATCATATATGTGATAAAGGATTAATCTCCAGAATGTATAAAGAACTACTAAAACTCAACAACAAAAATCCTAAGAACCCAATATAAAAAAATGAACAAAGGAGTTGAGTAGACATTTCTCCAGAGAAGATATACAAAGCTAACAAGCGTATGAAAACATGCTCAACATTAACTTATCATTAGGGAAATGTAAATCAAAACTACAGTGAGCTATCACCTCATATCCATTAGGTTGGCTATACCAAAGAAACAGAAAATAACAAATATTGGCGAGGGTTTTCAGAAATCAGAAGCCTTGTGCGTTGTTGGTGGGAATGTAAAATAGTATAACTAGATTACAAAAAGAATTGCCAAAAGATCCAGTAATTCCACTTATAGATATATACCCAAAAGAATTCAGACTGTGTCTTAAACATTTTGTACAGCCATGCTCATAGCAATATTATTCACAATAACTGGGAGGTGGAAACAACCCAAATGTCCACTGACAGATGAATGGATAAAATGTGGAATATACATACAATGGAATATTATTCAGCCTTAAAAAGGAAGGGAATCCTGACACGTGCTACAACATGGATGAACTTTGAGGATATTATCCCAAGTAAAATCATAAGCTAGTTACAAAAAGACAAATACTCTGTGATTCCACTTATAAGCAGTATCTAAAATAGTCAAATTCATAGAAATAGCAGAATGACAGTTGCCAGGGCCTGGGGTGAGGGGGAAATGGGAAGTTGTTTAATAGATATAAAGTTTTAACTTTTCAAGATGAAAAAATTCTGAAGATTGGTTTTACAAAAGTGTGAATACCTTTAACACTTACTGAATTACCAGTATTTTACCATGTATCATGAGTTCCTGTGTATAATACGCTCCTACATTTTTGGCTCAAACTTTCAGGGAATAAATCTTTCATTTCAATTTTTTAATTCAAATTTTTATTTGTTTACGTTTAGGTATAAAGGAATTTTAGCATTTATTTTTTTAACATATTATGGTACAAGAAAGTTTATGTACCAATAACAAATTTATGATATTTACATATCACAGAAGGCCACAAACTCTTCTTCGTTGTTGTAAGTTCGTCGTAAGTTCAACAGAACCACTTATTGTATTCCAGGTTATTCTTTTGCATGCGGATATCATTATTGATTTCTAGAGTTACGCTTTTAACTAATAAGCACAAATAAAAGAATTAAAAACATTCATATAGATGTGGAATTAGTACTACCCATGTATAATGTGCATCCTTAGTTTTCCATCACAAGTTTGGGCAAAAAAAGTGCACATTATACACAGCAAAATACGGTATACATTTAAAAATGGTTAAGATGGTAAATTTTATGTTACATATATTCTGCAATTAAAAATTTTAAATATATATAAAAATGAAACAAACCAATAAGTTATAATTTTCTTAAGAGATAGAAATTGTTGAGGAGCTTTTTATATTTTAATGGAAAAAATAAATCTACCATCATGATTTATAAAATGTTCCCCCAAAAATAAAAGTTGGAAGTCTGAAATGATTACTTTGAATATCATTTCTAATGTTTTCTTATTTATTTAAAATAAAATAAGACTAACAGTGTTTACCTTATTTTTTAAAATGAGATGATTGGTATGATTTGTGATTTTTGAGTGAATCTGAATCTATTAATGTCAAAGATTAAATTTGTTAAATTAAATGTCAGCACTCTGTTTTCTAATAGACATCTAAATGTTTTAAGTCAAATGATATGGTAGTTAACTTTATTATTACTGTTTTTTAAACTAACATTTTGTTTTTTCTAGGATCTTAATTCATATCTTGAAGATAAAGTCTACCTTACAGGATATAACTTCACCCTAGCAGATATCCTACTATACTATGGACTTCATCGCTTTATAGTGAGTATTTGAGTAGTTATTAACATCTTTTTCTGTAATGTTGAGATGATTTTTTGGTTTTAATTTAAATCTATTTTCAATTTAGCAAATAAAAATGAAAGGAATAATTTTTATACGGGGTACCTTATGTAAATATTCCTTCCACGCATCCATGAAACATGGTAGCTTCCTGTTCCTTGACTTGCTTGATTCCTGTTCTTGCTTCTGCTCTTCTTTGCAACTACCTCTCTTGCCACCCTTTGGACTTGATGGTCATCATTACCTGGACCCCATGGTAACCATTTCACTCCACCTCTACATATTAATTCTAGCACCCCATCTTCTGTGGGACCTCTTACCCTTAGATCTTAATCTCTCACTCCCTAATGCCATCCTTATCTGAGGTAACTGGATTCCTTCCCTTTTTCCTAACCTGTATACTTTCTTCCCCATCCAACCTGGATCCCCTTTCATGTAATTTCAACTACACCCTTTTAAGATAGCGTGTTCAGCTTCTTTGTTCCACCATATATTCACCACCCTTTCTTTGTAAATCCCCAGCTCTTGATCAGTCTAAATAAATGCCTTCAATCTTATATCCAGGCTGAGAGCTGTGTTGGAGAACTTATAAAACTACAGATTGGTACTCTGAGTTTATACTGTACAGTTTCAGCTCCGCTTTCTTATGGCTCAGCGCTTTCATTTCTCCCAGGCAGAATTCCAGACCTTTAGGATGTTCCTCAAGCCCCTCCCTTCTACCTCCCCCTTTATCTTCAGTCCTTATCACAGAGCCTTCACCCCTTATTCAGCTAGAAAATGGAGGCCATAGTTTAAATACTATCATCTTCCAGCTCTTCTACATGCACCTCATCCATCTTGTCTGCTATTTCTGGCTTCAGAAAGCATCACCTTGCTTTTCTCCTAGGCTAATATGTTCACCTGGCCTCTTACCTCAACTCCCTCTCCACGTCCTGTCCACTTTCTGGATTTCGTCTGAAATTTCATATCCTTTCTCATATCTTAAAAATTTTTTCTCTGTCTGGTCATCCTCTTTACTTTAAATCATTTCCCATCATAAATTTATTTACAAACAATTAGATGGCACTCACTATGTTCCACAGGCACTGTTCTGTATGCTTTACAAATGTTACCTCATTTAGTGCTTATAATAGCCCTGTGAGATGGGTACACTTATCATCCCCATTTTACATACAAAGTAACTGAAGCATAGAGGTCAGATGTCTTCTTTGAGACCACCCAAGTAATTGTCAAAAGCAGCTCTGGAAACTAGGCAGTTTGGGTTAGAGTTTGTACCTTCCTAGGTATCTCTCTACCTAAAACCTCCTTCCCACACCTGTCTTCTCCCTGTAGAAAAAAAGAACTCATACATTTTTCTATATTCTTCACCTCATTCATCTAGTCAGTCATGTCTTGCTGTTTCCACCTCATGGATCCTCTCACATGTGTCTCTTCCTATGATCCTGGATGAAATGGCCTACTTCCAGAATTAATTATCTTTTGTCTGCTATTGAAATGGCCTCCTGCCGTCAGTCTCACCTCTTACAGTCTGCCTTTATTGCCACTGGAACGATTTTTCTCATGAATGTATCTTTTTATTTCTCAAAATACGTAAGTAGCTCCTCAGCCCCTTCTTTACGCGACCCCGCCTCATCTCCATCATTCTCAACACCCCTCTCTCTCAGCCATGATGTGTTCCCTGGAGTCTCCTCACCCTTGGCTCTTTCTGCTCAGCGTCCTTGCACTGCTCTTCATTTGCTCCTTGGCCCAGCCCTTATCTTCCTCCCAAATTCATTTGTGTTTCATCAGGTATCACTCAGCTCTGGCACTAATTTCCTGGTGGAGCCCTCTCAGGCTCCTAAAGCATATTCAGATGCTCTTTGCTCCATTTCTTCTTGTACCTCACACACCACCTCAGTTCTGACTTGTTTCATTTTCTACTGTAATTCTTGGAAATTTTCACCATCTTTAATTTAAATTATAAACTGCTTGAGTCAGAGATTGTAGCAATTCATATTTGTAACACCACTGCCTGACACAATTCCTTGCACATGAATATAGTCTGCCCTCCCTTCCATACACACTGAACAATATAATTCACATATTTTTTATGTTTTTCAGAATTTTATATGTACTTTCTCATTGTACTTCATAACTCTGGAGGAGAGTAAGACTAGTGGTATTGTCCTCCTATTACAGAGAAGAAAACTAATGCTTAAGAACATCAAGTACTTTGTGCAAAGACAGAGCTCAGGTTTTGGAAGGGCCGAGACAAACTCAGTTCTCTGACTCAAGTGTCATAATGTGAGGAAGCCTTTGTAATCAAAAATGCCGTTGTAATGTATGACAGTTGTTCTTCGTTCCCCACCCAAGCTCTAATTCCTCAATTTGGATTTATATTCCTTATTAAGCATTATTTCTCTAAAATCCCTAAGTGATTGTATTAAATTCTATAACATTATTGTAATGGCCTAGGATGACCCTTAATTCAACATGGTACTCTCTATTATTACAAGTTTACTTAGTAAGAACTTACTATATGTGCCCATTATACTGTACTTGAGGGACATAAAAGAAGTATAAAAATATTTTTAAATAAGTTTTGATTTCATTAAAGAGATAAGACTTTTACATGAAAACAGTGAATAAGAAAAATTGGCATCTAGTGCTAATTTCTGATCAAAATATTATGGGATCAATTAAAGAGGCATAAGGAGAAAAGTAGAATGTAGAATCATGTAATAGTCAGAAAAATATCTGTTGAATTTGAATGGCTTTGGCTATCCAAGGGAATTTTTATTGTTTTAGAAAGCTTATGATAAGTTAAAGCATAAATATTTCTTATAAGTAGGATGACCACATGATTTATCATCCAAAACAACAGTTTTGTCAGTGAAAGAAGGGCTATTAATAATTACAATGGTACATCAGGAATAAAGTGGGACCAAAGGTCCCCATACTTAAAAGGAATAAGACTCAGTTTTTAGTAAAATACGGAGATTTAGGAAAGGATCATGTCAATCTCTTTCTCTTTACACTTCAGTATAATTAAATCTAAAGTAAACTTATTGAAATGTGAAGATGAGCTGAAATACTTTGATCATATCAGTCCCTTTATTCTATTCTAGATTCCAAATATTTTCATAGCCTTTTGAGTTTAGAATGGTGGCGTAGCACAACCTACCTCATTTCAAAATGCAAAAAGCCTCCAAGGTAAAGAGGGTTTGCTGTTAGGGCATCTAATAATAACTATCCTTTTCCTGCACCCAGGAGTCTTTCAACTGGGGAGTATATAACTTGATTGGAATGAGACTGTGCTGCTAAGAGCATGGTTACCTATAGACGGGAACAAAAACGTTACTTACTTAACAACCAGAACAACACACTTGTTGACATTTTAAAAACATATTTAAATGTGGCATTACTTAATTTAAAAGCTTCACATTAGAGACGTGTCCTCTGTAATCTTATGTGATGCCTGTCAGCAGGCTCGTGAAGGCCTGTCAGGACCTTCGCGAGGCCTGATTTCGTCTAGTGTCAAGCTTCATTAAGAAGGAAAGCATTTCTCCCACCTAGTTGTTTTTTGTTTGTTTTTTTAAAAGATGATAATGCAGTGTAACTCTTGCAAATCAAGTGTGCATTTACATTTTTCTCTCTTCTGGCTCATGCGTGTCATGCAGTAGGGACAGGAAATACTCTGAGAAGGAGGGAGCTTGTGTGGAATTTCTTTACCAGCTAGGTGAACAAGGTCATAATTTCATAATGCAAAATATTCATAGCACCAGCTACAGAGATGTTTAATTATGAGTCTAGGTGTCTTCCAGGATGTTTGGTTTTCAAGCAGGTTGAAAGTATTTCATTCAATGCTGCATGTTAAAACTAGGGTTACATTGACAATATTTAATGATCTGTACCTACTTATAGTTCCTATTTTGGAATGTGTATCTTCTTTATATGTAGTGACTAGGATATATGATTAAGGATATTAGGCTTATCTTTTTCAAAATATAATTGAGTAGAAAAATATGTAAGTCACTCTGTTAACCACCCTTTTCAGTTCCTAAAATGAGTTCATGACCAAAGCATCTCTCCTACCCTGGTCCAAGTGCAGGCAAAGTACATTGGAGAAATAAACACCTTCTCAAGGAACAGGCCTCAGATTGAAACCTTACTGTGACAGAATTGCACTGTGGTGTTAAATGACATCCCTGTTGAGTTACGTGTAAATATACCCAGATGAGAAAAAAAATGATTACTGGGAATGAAATTCAGGCAGAGGAGATACAAAGTTCAGACTTGCTACCTGCTCATATTCATCAGACAGTTTCTCGTGCTTTGTTTGCTTTGGCGGTGTATTTATTTTTGCTCCTATTCCTTCATTTATTTGTTCACGTTATTAAATACTTAATATGTAGTCAGCGCAGTGCACAAAACAGCAGTCAGAGAACCTTCAAGTCATCAAATAATCCCACTGTATTTTATTTCAGTGTGAGCCCAGTTTTAGTTGTGGCTGAGTTACTCTAATTATAAGATCTGGTCTGTCTTAATTCCCTTTGAGGAATATTACGTTGTTCTTCCTTTGTTAAACTGCCAGCTAGTGTGGCTGTTTATTATCACACTGGTGACTCATTGCTTTCTTAGAGCGATTTCACTAGTCGATAGTAGCCCCTATGAACAGACTGTTACTCAAGATTATTAAAATTCTTTGTAATGTTATGTGCTGCTTGAGTATAAGATTGTTATCAACTGAAATCCCTTTGTTTAGAAGTTCAGAGCACCAGTAGAGGCATGCTGTTCTCTTAGAAAGAAAGTAAAAGAAATAGCTGCAGAGCAGCCTGGGACTGCTGGCCACAAAGCATCCCAAAGGCAGCATGGTGCAGTTGGAAAGGTGGCAGACCAGCGTTTCACCCTGATCTGGAATGGGTCCCTTCAAGTGTTTCTCACATGTCTTCATGGAAAATTAGTGACTAAGAATATTATCTGTTTGGCTTTAGAGTTCAAAC